TGAAACAACTACTTGACTTGGAGCTGATGGGTCCAGGAAAAACACACTGTTCCCCAATAACAAATTAAAAAAAAAAAAAAAAGACAAAGATTGGCGCATGGTGCATGTGTTTGTAAGTTGAGAAAACACTGTTAAAGGCATTGGCTCCTTGGAGAGTAGAACTGGATGGGACCTGGAGGTTAGAGGTGGGAGGGAGGCTGACTTCACTGAATATCCTTTTCTCACTTGGTAACCCTGAGCCATCAGCATGTATTACTTTTCCACAATTAATTAGAAACCAAATCAGTGAACCAATTAGGGCAGCCTGAAAGGGTCAGGAAGGCAGAAGACCTTTGCCCCCGCCTGGTGATCTGCAAGCTCCGGTGTTAAGAGGGCCAGAAAGCACCGAGCGTGGCCAGGCTGAGGCCCAGAGGTACTTGCCTGAGGCAGCGGTCCACGTCCGGGTCGCTCCGGCAATACTGCAGGCCTCCGTGTCTCAGGGCGTCCTCGGGGTTGGCAAAAGCCTGAAATACATCAGCTGAGAATTACTGTTCATGAGATGGACGGCCCAGTTGCCTGGGCCCGGTATGTGTTGTCACACGCATGTCGGTTCACCAGGCCCGGTATGTGTTGTCACACGCATGTCGGTTCACCAGTATCCGTGAGCTCCTACTACGTGCCAAGTGCTGGAGCCTCTCCATGAACAAGGCTGCTGTGGCTAGAACGTGTGTCCCCTGAAAATTCCGATGTTGAAACCTAACCCCCAATGTGATGGTATTTGGAGGTGGGGCCTAGGGGAGGGGATTAGTTCATGAGGGTGGTGTCCTCATGAATGGTGATTAGTGCCCTTATAAAAGAGACCCCAGAGGCTCCCTGGCCACTCCTGCCATGTGAGGACACAGTGGGAAGACGGCCATCTCTGAACCAGGAAACACACCCTCAATCAGACAGAACCTGCCAGCACCTTGACCTTGGACTTCACTTCCTCCGTAACTGTGAGAAATAAATTTCTGTTGTTTTATAAGTCCCCCAGCCTATGGTATTTTGTTAGAGCATCCCAAACGGACTAAGGCAAAGGCTGTCCTGTCCCTGCTCTTGTGAATCTCAGTCAGCTGAACCAGGGAAGGCCAGGTGGTGAGTGTTAAGAAAGAGAAGACAGGCTTGGCCTTGAGAATGTTCACAGGAGACCTGATGGAATCTGGGATCAGGGGCTTCTCTGAGGCAGTGACATTAAAGCTGAGGCTTGAAGGATGCATCCACATTAACTAGATGAGGGGAGGGCTGGAGCAACAGCAATCAAGGTATAGGCACAGCACGTGCAAAGGCCTTGGGGTCAGAAGACGGGCACTCAATGAATTATCAATGGAAAGCAGAGACTTAAGGTCACACTGAGCTCATTGAAGGCCCATGCCCAACATTCATGCTCCACCATGCCCTGATGGCATCTAGGCAAGCCAGCCCACCAATCCACAGCAAACCTCAGCACCAGGCTTTCTAAATTGTTCATCCAATGGCAAATCCTGCTGCTTCTGACTCATGAGCCCTTGGAACATCTGTCCCCAAGCGCTGGTTTGTCCTGCATGGTGGGCCTGCCTCAGCCCCACCCGAGGTGAACGCAGCCCATTCCTGATGCCCGTCTCAATCCGGATTGGAGGCCCCACACCCAGAATTCCTCTTCGCTGGCCCTCAAGTCGTGGAATCGCCAATTCTGATGGCCCCGCACAGAGTTCATGGGCTCGTGACACCTCTCAAAGGGTCTTTGCATTCAGTGTGCAGCTGCCTTGAGTCCATGGCCCATAGGGTTAGTCATCTCCAAAGACAGAACTGGAATACAAGTCGGCCTGGCCAGGCGCCAGCTGCCACGCAGACGGAAGAAGCCCTGTCATCAGGAGCAGGAGTCCTACCTCCAGTTGCGGCCAGGCGGCAGGCTCCCGGATGCACTCCCATGAAGCGATCCAGTTTTAATAAGCGATGAGAACTAACAGTGATGGAGCGTTTTCTCTGGGCCAGGCACCGAATTCTCCGGGCTCCACGATGTCTATTCCCAGTTCACAGATGAGGACGTGGAGATCCCGGGCCTGCCCAAGGTCCAAGGCTGGGTGCCCAGGAAGAGCCAGCGCCTGCGCCCACCCCCTCCCCTCCCCTTCCTGTTACCTTCCTAATCGGAAACGAGAGAAAAATTTGTAGATGGCACCCTGGGGACAGCCCAGGGAGGTTTTCTTCTGCCATTCCCCGGCTGCCTGGGCAGACAGGCATTCAGACAGGTATGTCTCCTCTCTTCCCGGAATTCAGGTTAAAAGGGAAGCTCGAGGCCCCTGCACCTCACTACTGAGAACCCCATCCCCCTGTGGCAGGTGTGGACTCTGTAGCTGGACACCTGGGCTCAAACCCAGCTGTGTGGCATTCCAAGTATTGTCTCCTCTCAGCCCCGATTCCTCACCTGGAAAACAAGGTGAATAAGGCTCCTCCCCTCCTCCCCAAGGGCTGTGGTGGGGATTAAGGGATCGGCAACTTGAAAGGAATCAATGGGAAATGCAGCTGTCCCTGCTGGGTGCCTGTATCCTGCAGCCCCGATGGGCCAAGGCAGGGAGGAGGCCAGTTGACCAATGGTCCCCTGGGAACTGCCCTGCCTTCAGTCCTGCGTCTACCGGAGCGAAGGGCTGCTCCCCAATGTGCCCCCCCACCCCCCGCCATGAGATGCTAGAGCCAGCCTTGCCTTTAGACTGGACCAGGGGGACAAAGGGGCAGTTTCCAGAAATGGTCTCTCTACTGAAATACCCGAGAGGGCAATCAGCAGATACCCCCTGGGCCTCTCTGTGTCTAACAGGGCGGATGGCAAGCTTGGCCCACAGTGTCTCCGCTCTGGCCGCCCAGTCCTGTGTGAGCAGAATCTCGCTGGAACCCCGTCCCACCCACCCTCCGGCTCTGGCTCAGATCTCAGCTGCTTTATTGTTGTTTTGGCTTCGGGACTCTGACTGGTCGGGGAAATTCCTCCCTTAAAGCTCCGTAGAGCCCAGCCGAGACCCGGCCCCTGGAAGCAGCAATGGGTTTGTAAGTGACCTGGCCAGCGAGCTGGGAATTTCCACTTAAAGCTCTCCTGGGTCTTGTTTCACCGGTTCCCACTCCACCCAAAATATCAGAACTCCTGTGCCCGGAAGCCGCCAGGTCACACGAGGCTTTATGCTGTCTCGCTCCACCCGAGGACTGGTGTCTCAAGAATTCAGCGGCACTCGTATAGTCCCGTCAATGCCAAGAACTTACCTGATGGCACAGGGAGTGAGTAAATGCTTTTAAAACAGAGGACAGGAAGGTTTGTGCCCTGCTGAAACTGAGAGCCACCCCAAAGGACTGAGAGAGGCACCTGGTCCTCTCTCACACTCACACTCTGGCCCTGATATCACCTTGGTGGGGAGGGGCCCCCCAGGGCGGCACGTACCTTCTTCCGCAGCCTCACTTGGCCCGTGATGATGGCCACCACGTACATCTTGATAATCAGCAGTGTGCTGCAGAGCAGGAAGGCCGGGAGCACCTGGCCACTTACTATGGCCGGGATGGGCGCAGGCATCTTGACAGCGGGAGCTCTGGGGAAGACGTGAGGCGGACGTGTGGCAGTGCTGGTAGCGGTCTGGAGAACGGGGAGGAGGCGGGGAGAGCAGCGGGGAGGCCTGTCTGCACGGAGCACCCGCCCACTACCAGGCAGCAGCAATTTCTGGCCCCAGGTGCTGGGAGAGCCGAGAGCTTGGGGATATCCTGGACCCAGCCTCTGGCCTTGGGCCACACTTCTCGGCAAATCCTTAACCACTTTCTAATCTGTTTCCTGTCAAAAAAAAAAAAAATTCAATGGAGTAAATTTGAAGATCTAGTTGGCTTTATTCAGTGATTCTAGCAACTCAAAGGGTGCTCTGAGGGTTTTTTTTTTTATAGGATGGAGGGGTAAGGGAGTTAATTATGAAAGAAAAGAAAGGATTATTTGGGGGCTGGGACATATTTTCTTAGCGGGCAGAGGAGGGAAAGGGTTTTTATCATGCAGATGACCCCTTCTTCCTGTTGGGGGGTCTAGGGGATGGAGAGGGCCTGGGATGGCAGAATACCTTATCGGTGCTTAGCCAGAATTCCAGGCTGGTTGACTAAGATTGTTTATTGGAGAGGGTGAAACTGCAATTAGATCAGGTATTAAAGTTTGGCATCATGGGCCTTTTAGCACGAGTGATGCCATTTTTGGCCTGTGTTATTTCAACATTCCTTATCTGTAAAATGGGGGTGTGCTGCAGTGCCTGCCTTGGGGGGGAGCGGGGGGGGGGGCGGAGTGACAAAGCAGGGCACCTGGCAGGACTTCCACAGGCCGCAGATGTTATGGATCTATGCCCACCTCCCTGAGAGTCAGGGCAGGTGGTAGGCAAATGTGTCTGCTCACTCACGGGCCGTGAAAGAATTCACGAGTCAGGTAGAAATATAGAAGGAAGATTTATTGAAGTAAGAGAAGGGTTGGCTGGGCAGAGTCTGCTGGAAACTACTGCATCGAGTCTTTGGTCTCAAGTTTTATCTTTTCCTGTAGTTGGGGTGGGGGAAGGTGCAGTTAAGCTGGTTATCACAACCTTTGCATACTTACAGTAGATTAAGTTGGAGCTAGGAGTGTGTTCCATACAGATGCAAAACGTCTCCCAAGTCACAGGGCCTGCACTGGCTTGAAGAAAAGAGAAACACTGAAACTGGTATGCAGAATAAACGTATAGGAAGCAGAATCATTAAGAGGCAAAGAAAAAGCTTTCAAAAAGTCCCAAGCTAAATTGCACTTATTAATTTGAATTATACCAGAGGTCCAAATCTCAAAAATAGAAGATTTAATGCCACCATTACAATCCCCTGTCTTAACAGTAGGCACACAAGAACCGAGCCATCTGCCCCATCGCAGCCTGGACACTTGAGCCACAGCCGTACCTACAACGATGTGACATTGCTGTCTGTGGTAGGCTGCATAATGGCCCCCCAAAGAGGGCCATGTCCCAATCCTCAGAACCTGTGAACAGGTCACTGTACATGGCAACAGGGACTTTGCAGATGGGACTAGGTAAAAATCTTGAAATGGGGAGATTACCCTAGAGCAGCGGTTCTCAACCTTTCACAGGGGTCGCTTAAGACCATCAGAAAACATATTTTCGATGGTCTTAGGAACCGAGACACCGCTCCTCTATCCGTCTCCAGGCCCACATGCAGATATGCCCACATACGAGTACCCGTACCCCGCGACCCCTGTGAAAGGGTCGTTCGACCTGCGACCCACACACAGGTTGAGAACTGCTGCCCTGGACTATGTGGATGAATCCAATTTAATCACAAAAGGCCTCTTAAGAGAGATGAACCTGTGGATGAAAAAAGGGGTTCTATGGAAAGTGACCTCACTGGGTGATCTCATCATAAATTCCTGGGCAGGTCCTGGTGGGTGTTCACGCCCAAGGCATGTGACTTCTTTAGTAAAAGGCTTATGTTTGCCTCAAGCCAGCCCCATCCACTGTTTCTGGGCATCTAGTTAACTTGCCTCTGAAACAAGCAGTAACCAACCCGAGGAGAGCACAAAATCTTGTTAACTACCCTGTAATCTAACCCCGGCCTTGCTTTCTCCCACCTTCATTTAATCTTCCTTACATCCCCTCCTTAGTCTCACACGCATAAAAGAAGCTGCAAAACTGTCAATCTCGGGAGTCGCTGAGATCTTGCTCCCCGGCATGTGTCGTCAGTTTGGCTCAAATAAACTCATAAAAAAAACATTCTCTACAGGTTAGGGTGTCCTTACATAGACAAATGAGAGGGAGGAAAGATTAAAAGAAAAAGAAGAGCAGAGGTCAGAGAGGAGAGAATACTAGACTGCTAGCACTGAAAATGAAGGGAAGATGAGGCAAAGCATGCAAGGCAGCTTCTAGAAGCTGTAACAGTCAAAGCAAATTCTCCCGGAGAGCTTCCAGAAGGAACAGTCCTTGTGGACACCTTGACATTAACCCACTGCCATCGAGTTTGGACTTCTGGCCTCCAGAACTGTAAGATAATAGATTTGAGTTGTTTTAAGCCACTGCATTTGCGGTCATTTGCTACAGCAGCAGCTGCAGGAAACTGCTAGCACACGCCGCCACACTGTCTTGTTTGGCATCCATTTACTTTCCTGGGAGGCTCCCAGGCAAATGGCTTCATTGTTCATTCCAGGAACTTCCTGAGAGATCCATCAGCTCTTCCATAGGAAACATCGACGGTTTGTGCCCTAAGATTCTTTGAAGCCCTTGTTTCAAAATCCTCGCCTTGCTGTGTCCCCCTGCCCCTTGCCGGCTTCCCCAGGTTTGGGGCGGGACCTCCGCAAAGGCAGGATGGGATCTTGTGCCTGCAGTTTTGCCAGCACTGCTTGCTTTGCTATGGGGCGCCCTGGGGAAGTAGGGAAACGCAGTCTCTAGTGCCTGCTTCACCTTGGGCCTACCCAGATGAGCAGCAGTGTCCGTTTGGCCAAAGCAGCAGAGACCAAGGGAAGGACTGGTCAGAGGGCAAAGACACTGGCCACATGCTATGGAGCCAGACTCAGCTGGCATGGAATCCTAGAGCCAGCCCTCGGTGGCAGCTGTGTGGCCTTCAGCAAGCAGTTTCCCTCTCTGACCCCATTTCAACTGTAAAACACAGCTGACAACCAGTCACTCCCCCAAGCAGCTGAGAGAACTAAAGGGAGTCGTGTCTAATTATGAAGCACCTGGCACGTAGTAGGCCCCCTGTCAGCAGGAGCCTCTTCCTCAAAATTGAGATAATAATTCCTGCCTCTAGCAGGGCTGCCAGGAGGGGGACTCTTGAAAACCCCTGTCCTTGCTGCTGGGGGCAGTGGGTTGGGGAGTGGGGAGATGGAGGAATAGCTTCTTGTCCGTTTGCAATGTGCCAAACCTTCCTTTATCTGGACAAAATGTGCACTTGCAAACCAACAGCCACATTTCTGGAGTGTAGGGCTGCCAGGCGGGGTTGGCCCAGCCCCAAGAGATAATGCTAGGTCACAATCACAGACATGAAGGTATTGGATGTCCTGAAATAAGTTTTTATCTTTGTGTGTTGGGTAGAACTGTGCAAGCCTGCTCCTTGGATGTTTCTACAATATCTGAGAACAAAGGATGCTGGCCTCTCAGGTCCCCAGCTCGGGGGAACCACTGGAGGCTGTCTTCCTTGTCAAAAAGCTCAGTTATGGGGTCTGGTGGCTGCACCACCCCCAGCATCAGACCGGAGACAGCCCGAGAGGGCCCCTCGGTGTCGATCCCTCCTTAGACTAGGGGGCGTGCTCTGTCCTGCTCAGTCTTTTGAAACAAAACCTCACCAGTAGAAGCTGGGAAAACCAGCGTGGGCAAAAAGCAGTTTATTGTCTGCTGTTACCTGAAGCCAGAAATAAGAGGGACTTTGTAGGGAAACCCATGGTAGGAATCTTTGCCTCATTGTCTGCTGAAATCAACCAGTTAAGCCAGGGCCTGCCAAGGAGGACAAACCCTTCTCTGATCCTTGGCCAAGAATTTCCCTAAAGCCTTTAGTCAGTGGAAGCGCCGTTGTTTCTGGTGGTGGAGATGATGGGGTGTTACTTTCCCCTGAGCTCCAGTTACAATATTTGCCTGTAAAATGGGCTTGGTGCCCTCTGCCTTGCAGGGGGTGAGGGCAACTAGAGAGGGTGCGTGCAAAGCACTGGGGGGGGGGGGGGGGGTGGGAGACAGCTCACTGCAGGCCTGGCCTTGAGGCCCAAGGAAAACACGGCAGTGCCTGCTCAGGAATGAGGGAGAGCAGAGGCACTGGGCCTGACCCTGAGCCCTGAGGAGGCCTCCTGGGTGTTGGCAATGTTTCATATCTTGACCTGGGTGATGGCTACACAGGTAGATATAGGTGTAAAAATTCACTGAGAAATATCTTCAAAATTTGTTACTTTCTTGTATTTTTTTTTTTTAGCCACGAAAGTTTTCCCGTCACCACTCTACAACTCTGAGCAGAGAAGAACCGCTGTCTCAGGTCCCCGTGTAGCTTCTTCCAGCTCACCCTCCTCGTCATTTCCTGAGGATCTGAGACCCGGCTCTTCTGCTGTTTAATTGCCTGTGATTTCAGAGGAGGCTTAGAGAGAGGAGGAAGTGGCCCCACCTCGGCCGCTGGTTCCTGACCACAGTGAATATTGCTGGAGTCTCTCTAGCCAGGGACCGGGAAACACAGTGATTAAAAAAAAAGAAAATGACTGTCGCTCAAGTGACCTTTTAGGTCAGATCTTTATTATAGTCGTCACTGTGACATCAATCCTCCTTTGGGAAGCAGTGTTTCTGAAATGTGGCATTTGGCCTACGGAAGAGGCAAATGTAGATTAGTGAGCTGTTTCTGATGGCTCTGCAGCCCTAGGGCAGAAGCCCACCAGATGGGACCCCTGGACCCCCTTCAGGATGAGCAATTCAGTGAAGGATTATTATTTTTGTCTGCCAGCTCCCTTCTCTCTCCTACCTTTTGGAAATCACACCCTTCCTTTCAAGACCTGTATCTTAATTGCCTGTAATTTTGGTGGGCCAACCAATTGGAGTACTCCATCTTAGTATGTGACCCAGACCAGCCAATCACAATGTTCCTGGCATCTGGGTACTACAGTTAGTCCAAGCAGAGCCAATCAGAGACCTTCCCTGGGAGGTTATATCCTGGCACTGATAAAGAGACTCCTCTCGGCTCCAGGACTGGGCTCTGGGACAGTATTGGCCTGAAGCTGTGTGCAGCCATTCGCCCTCTCCATATGGAGGAGGCTGTATTATGGAGGACACAATGAGGCCCCAATCTCTGACTCACCCCAGTCTAGAAGTTTACGAGTTTCCTCTTTTGCTTAAACAAAACATCAGTCAAATCACATCTCTCCTCTGCGACTAACTCTGCAGTGGCTCCCATCTTACTCAGAGTAAAAGCCCAAGTTTGGACAATGGCTCATGGCCCTACTCCATCTGGCGCCGGTCATACTTCCTGTTCTTCAAACATGCCAGATACTGTCCTTTCTCAGGGCCCTTGTTCTAGCTGATCCCTCTGCCTGGAATTCTCTTCCTCCAGGCATCCACTGGGTTGACACCTCGTCTTCAAGTCTTGGCTCAAATCTTATTTTCTTGATAAGGTCCACCTGATGGCTTTCATCAGTTCTGCAGCCTGTCCCCACCCCCACTTCCCTGCCTCAACTTTCTCTTTTCTTTCCACAACACAATCATTCAATGAATGGCACACTTTATTCTGTATTTATTATCCTACTAACACCTGGCTTCCTAGGCCAGGGGTCTCGGTTTTGTTCAATGATGAACCACAAGCATTGGTCCTGTGCCTGACATATAGTCACAACTGTAATTTGTTGAATTGAATTGAATTAAGGTAATTTGATTTGGATTTTTTTCTTCTTTTTTTTTTTTATAACCAAGAGTCTAGACCAAGATAAGTAAAAAGCGCCTGACTTTGGTTGTGGATCCTGACTCCTGTTCTCCTGTTTCTCAGAATGCCCAGGAGAGCCTGGCTGCTTCTCTTGACAGGCAGAGAGCCGGGGAAAGGGCCTATGAGTCTCTGAGTGGAATTGGCTGCTGGGCAGGCTGGGACCAGAACAAGATAACTGGGGCACTGCCCCAGGGCACCCGCCTTTGATAACCACTCAGCGAGGACTGGAAAAGACCATGTGATTTTCT